GTATTAGCATGCTATAAAAACACTAATCATAAATGTAAAACAAGGCATGCATATACTTATAGCTAAATTGTCCCAGTGACATAAAAATCAAATTGTTCCCTCCCACTGTGTTCAATGCAAACCTACCTCAATATATTGGAAGAAAAGATAATACTGGAGTTTCACTTATCATTTTTAACCATTATATTCACTAATGTAAATGTTAAATGTTTAATTAGTTTTTATTCAATGTTTCTGAAATAGTTATTAAAAAAGAGCCAAAAATATGATTCTCTACAGCACTAATTTTTTACAAAGTTACTACTCTGTTTGCATGAAATTTAAATGCTAAATAGCATCACTGGTGGTTTAATGATATGTTCTAGGTTACAGTATGTTAGTTCTTCATAAATGATAAGAACCATGTTTCTCATCTTTCTTCATTGATGTAGCAGTTCCTACTCATCAATTAAAAATAATGTTCTTCCACAAACACCAGGATCATGTTAATGACAAATCATAAACACACTGAAAAACAGTCATTAGTTTGCCAGACCTTGAAATAGATTCACCTTTAGGTATAGCTTAGATACTTTGTCTTTTTAAACTGGACAAATGATCAATTCTTCTGGATTCAGTGTGTAACTCTTAACCTCCTGGTCCTAGAAGAACTGATGGACTGGGACAACCACTCCCATCTTACCCCACTCACCCGAGCCCTCCAACACAACACACTCATGGCTCTCAGCAAATCTTACTTGGCCTCCCTCCTTCAATGTGTCCCCTCTGATGCCCCCCAGGTACCTTATCCTGGGTGTATAAGGGAGGATCAAGAAAAAAGCAAACCCGGAATTATCATTTGGAGGGCAGGCCCCTTACAGTACAGGCGTCCCGCATGAGGTAAATGTTCTAGAAACCCATTAGCATCAGTGTCGCCAGCTAGGGTTGTTGTGAGAGGCTGCATTCGGCTTTTGTTTTTGGAGATTCTTTCAACATCCTTGCCCATTTCATGATGGGTGATTTACAAACACACCTGCCCACACTACATTAAGTGTGCAGCAGTTTTTTTTAAAATCAAAAACAGCATGACTCCCATGCCCTACCCTCCCTAGTAACCCAATCTTGCCCTGAGTGACTTTTCTTTCTTTCTGTGGATGAAAAAAGTCCTCAAAGGGAAACATTTTGCCAATGTGAAAGATGTGAGACAAAAAAACTGCAGAAGTGCTATTAGTAAAGGCATCAGAATTGACACATTCAAAAACTGTTTTGAGCAGTGGAAAAAGCATCTCAACAGGTGTACATCATACAGAGAGTAATTTGAAGATAACTGAAGTTTAAACAGGTAATAATAAATACACAATTTTCTACAAATAATTCTGTTATTTTGGGGAAAAGTTTTCCTCATATGCAGCCTGCAATGGGGCCCAGCTACCTGCACAAGTATAACACATAGCTTTCAGTGATCTGCTTCCCAGGTGGTCCATGTGTGCCTTGCCCTCTTCCACGTGGAGCCTGTGTGTCCTAGAGCAGTTGCTTCCAACACTACGCACATGAGAACCCCCAGGAAGCCAGGTAACAGTATCTCCTGAGCTTCCCAGGTGATACTAAGATGTAAAAAGAATGGAAAATCACAGGTCTAGAGGACAAGACAGAACCTCCCATGTCCTTGTCTCCCATCCCCACCTAGCCCCATGGTAGGCACAACATGGACCCCATGGTTCACAGCACACTGGAGTCAGTTCAGACTCTCATGCCTGAATCCACCTGGAAATTCCAATTCACTGCATGGGCCCAGGCACAAAGATCTGCAAAAGCCCCTAAGAAGAATCAACTGGGAAGCCAGGTTGAAACCCTGGGATTCAGAGAATGACTAAGAAGGAGCCTTGACTGGGGATGCCTCTTCCCTGTGACCCTACAGTCTTTAATTGCTTGCTGGGTTATCTCCATCATTTTCCAAAATATTCTTGTGATCCCAGAACTTGCAAAGGGCTTGGCTGAAAGCAGATGTGTGAGAAATACTTGCTGAACCAAGAATGACTGATTAGCAGTGTTTACTATTCTCACCAAATCTCTGATATGACAGAACATATGCTGGGGCTGCCTGTGCCTGGGAGTAACCAGACAGGAAGGAGATTCATAAGCAAGCTCCTGGGTCAGCAGTTCAAGGATGAAAGCTGTCAACTGTGCCTGCCTTCCACCTGACCAGTCCCATGCCTGACTAACACCCTTCAACAGGGTAGGTCCCTTCTCCTGGAGGCCCAGAGCTACAGCACAGCATGATAGTACGTGAAGAGCCTTCTTGCCAGCACAGGGCATAGAGCATGACAAAGGCACAGCGAGTATCTGTTTCCTGCAAAACGACCAAGGCTTGCTCCCTACTTTAGGTGTCAGAGTCTCTCCAGCCCCACCCCTGTAGTCTTTGGCCTCTCAACTCCTTTCCCTGCCTCTTCCCGGTTTTCCCTGTCCTAGTTCTAGTCCCCTCCCAAGAGCCAGTCAGGTGCAGTCCACTTTGCACCAGTATTGCTCCTCCTCCATTACAGACATGGGCAAGAATTACTCAGTATCTGAGTTACCTGCTTACGACCCTGTAGGACACACTCTGCTTCAAAGGAATCTGAGTGTGCATGGTCTGGCACTCAGTAAGCACTCAATAGGGGACAGAAATGGGGGCAGCAGTGCACTGGGGGCACAGGAACAAGATCCTGAGAGAATGAGCTCTGTTTCTGAGCAGTCAGACCCTAGGTCTGCCCTGCAGGGGCAGCAGGATAGACAACAGAGAAAGGTCTACTGTCTATTCCGCAGGCCCCAAGGGGACAACTTGGTCTTCTTCCCTCCCTGCTATTTCCCAGCAACTAACCCAGTGACTGAAACACAGAAAATGCTCAATAAATATCTATGGAACAAATGAATCTTTCAAGGCTTTACTCTTCCAGAAACACAGCCTCATTAATCCCACTTAAATCCTTCAGGACAAAGCTTAAGCAGGGGGTGGGAAGGACCCCATGCACCTGGCTTCCTCCTGGTCCCTACTACCCCTGGTGCACACTCCCTTAAATAGACTGCCTACTCACCCCAGTCTTTGCTACTGCTTGTCCCACCCCTACTGCATCCAACCCCTGGATCTTAAGACCCTCCCCATCTCCCTCACCCAGAATGAACACTAACAACCCTTTCAAGATTCCATGTAAAATGTCACCTTTTCTAAGGAGGCTTGCCCGGGATCCTCCTGAGTGTGAACTCTCCTAGAATCACACCCCTCCCCTTCTTGATCCTCCCCACTCTCACTTGCAAGGATGGGAGGACAGGACAGGGTTTGCTCACTGACCAGCACTACTTTTTTACTCATCTGTCAACCCAAGCCCAAGAGAGGGCCAAGAACTACCACTATTTCTGTCCCTTGTGACCGCAAGTCCTCACTCCCTCCCCTCCTTGCCCACCAGCCAAGGCCTCAGACTCCAGGTATGAAGTTCCCTCCCCAAGAAGTCGACCCTCAGCATTAAACTGCTCCACTCGCTGCTATAATCCCTGTTCCCTTGCTTCACACTTGTGTCCTGCTCATCCCCTGTTCATCCTGGAGTATATAGTCTAAGACTGCACTGTCACTGTCCCACTGACAGTCTGCACCCTGACTTCTTCCTAATGGCAAGCTAGTATCTGGCTCATCTCTGTCCCTTAAGCAAAGGCACCTGTAAGCAGTGATGGTTGCATGAATAAATATGTCTAAGAACACCTGGGTTTACTCTCACTGGCACCGTCAGCATTTCCGGTACAGACTCTACCCATGCCCACACGCCTCATGTCCACAACCAGCAGAGTGGTCAGTCTGTCATCTCCCCCCTGCTCCTCTGTCCACTGAAGCCAGAGTGTCCATTTCCATGTCAACCCCTGCGCAGCACACATTAGGGCAGCAAAACCGTGATCTGCAGAGACTGAGAACTAGAGAAAAAAGAACAGTACAAAACAACTCACATGAGACTTTCCACCCAGACTTGGCACATCCGTAATAAATGTAAAATTTCAATGAAGGATCTTCAAATATTTTCATCAAAACGTCCTATAAATCAACCTGAAAAGCTTGTAACCTATCTTAGAGGACATTTGTAAAACTGGATATAAACTGGAAAACTGGATTAAAATTAAAAATACAAAACAAAAATATAAGCAATCACAGCAGGTCTAATTTTAATTGCAGAAGAATATTTAATCAATAAATATTCACTGTTCAGAGCTGCATCTGCATTTAGGATTACAAGGTACTAAGCTGCAAATTTATTAAGACTCATTAGCAAGAAAGAGTCTTTTAAATACTGAAAGTCAGACCCAATTAGAGTTTAAGAACTTAGAGTTCCCTATTGACTTAGCTCCAAAAATAATGAAAAAGGAAAAGAGAAGAAAGTTGTCTATAAACTATTCTGAAATGTTCAGCAGGAACAAATTTACTTCCAGTGCTAAGCCAGAGCTAAGTACATGTAGATGTTCCAGTATAGTAGATGGACCACTACTGCCCACCCCAAATTTCCATAAAGGCAACTTAGTGCTGGGGTTAAGGCAGTAGAATCTTGTCCTCCATCACAGAAACACAAATTACTTCTAATAACCAACATCATCACTAATACTTAAATTTTTGTCAAACATGTTTCCCAATTTTCAATATATTTCAACATATTTAGAACATATTTCCTGGTTTCAACTCCTCAGAGTTGAAATAACTTTTTTATGCTGGAAACTTTCTACATCATAGGCTGGAACATACAATAAAGATTTTATTAATAATAAAATCAGAGAAAAGAACATAGCTGTCATAATTATCACTTATCCTTATTTTCTCCTAGTTCAGTTGCACCAAATTTAAAATTAAGCAAAGTATGGACAATGTCATCTTAGCCAGGGCAAAGGACTGGCTAAGTGTGCAGTACTCAGGGCAAGTGTGTGGGCTGTGGCAGACAAGCCACACTCAGGCCAGCTGACCACAGTTAGTGCTCACAGGGGAGACTGTGCTGAGGAGGGACAGAGAGACTTACTGAGAGAAGTTTCCATGTAATTGGACGAACTGACTTAGGGATTCCGGACCAGCTCAACTTCCGTAATTCCTCTGTTGACAAAAAAAAAAAAAAAAAAATGCACAAGGGAAAACAAGATTTACAAAAGGTTAGCAAACTTTCCCCAATGCTTTGACATATTCCACCCATTTTATTAGGCGGCAATGAGCCCCATAAATGAAACTAGAATACCCCTAAATGAAAACAATTTTGAAAATTGATTGTTCTCAATAAAAGAGAGAAGGAAGTTACCACTCTGTTCAAACAAAGCTTAAGGTTACCTCCTTACATTGAAATCTGAAAGTCATGTTTGTAAAAACACATACCAGCTGGCACGGTGGCTCATGCCTGTAATCCCAGCATTTTGGGAGGCCAAAGTGAGAGGATTGCCTGAGTCCGTGGGTTCAACACCAACCTGGGCAACATGGTGAGACCTCTTCTCTACAGTAAATCAAAAAATTAGCTGCATTCCAGCTTGGGTGAAAGAGTGAGATTCCAACTCAAAAAAAAAAAAATCCCCAGTGTCCCTGGAGCTACCCTGGGGCAGGTAAGCACCAGGACCCTTTTCTCTCACAAGCAGTGAAGCCCAAAGGACACCAGCCTCCTTCCCCTCCCACTTCCTTCTCTCTACTTCTCTCTCTCCCATCGCCCCACACTCCTGAATGCCTTTTCCCCAACTTGACCACCATAACTGGTCTTTCTTTCTCTCTCTCTCTTCCTCCCTTTCTCCCTCCCTCTCTCCCTTCCTTCCTTCCATCCCTTCTCATTCTCATGATATGCTGCTTAAGCATACCTGTATGCTTTTAAAAGACATTGCCTCATGGTGATAAGCCTGTCTTTATAAAGCTTTAAGTAAGGATGTAGCCATATTATACACATCAAGGACAACAAAGTCTTCAAGGTAGACTAATACAAGTCAGTGATGCTTTACAAATACCTATAGTTGGGAAGAGTCACAAGAGGGGAGGAGTTGGCCAGAGGCAGAGGAGGAATGGAGAAAAGCCCAGTACCTCCCTAGGGCAGGAAAAAGCACAGCAGGGGCAGAGGGGTAAGGATAATGGACCCTGAATTCTATCTGAATTTCTGTGTCTCCTTGAGTGTCTCATTCACATGCCTTGAATGGCTAGAGAATTCATTTCAATTTGTAGGTAAATCAACACTTGTCCATCCCACTGAAATTGATGTAATTATTTCTTTCCATTAAGTTAGGAATCTACCATTAGTTTATTCTCCTAACATCTTGGAGCTAATAATTAATACTAGGAATAAAATAAATGATTAAATAGAAGATTTTGCTAATATAATCAACAAAATACAAAGTCCTGACATCTAATCTTTTTCCAATTACTAAAGTCTAAGAAAAATAAGTACAGAATAATTGGGCAATAGTACCAGCAATAACTTGCATTTTACAGCAATCTCAGAAAATATCAAATCTTCCCCAGTACCCTAAGGATATTATGAAAACCAGGAACCTAATATCTGAACACCAATAATGTAATGTTTACCAACCATGTTCCCAGTGCCTCTCTCTCTGCATAACTCTGGTTTTCTGATTATAGTTTATGAAAAAAGCTAAGAGAAAATTCAGTTGTTAGTGTTCTCTGAACCTATCTCCTCACTGGGAGATTCATATATCTTAAATATACATAATGAGACAAAGTTCTTTGCTTAAGCTTCAGTGTTTAAAGAGAGCTTTCATATATATTGTCTTATTTGATCTCAAAACAGTTTGAATTATTTAGGGTTGTGATCACTACTGTATACATGAGAAGTGATCCCAGAGAGGTCACACAGGAACTAAGTAACTTTCAATACCAGAGTCTTTCCACTATATTAACTCCCATTCTTAAAAAGACTATTTGCAGCACAAATAACTCTCACATCTTGAATACAGACAAAAAGATTCAAAATAAAATCTTAGTAGAATCAAAACACAGCAGGATACTCAAAGAATAACATACAGAAGTAGCATATGCTCCAAGAATGAAGGAGGGATGGTTCAATGTCAGGAAATCTTGTAACTTTATTGACATGTTGAATGAGGTTGATGGGGAAAGCCATATGAGCATCCTGATAGATGTCCAGTGTAGACTTTCATCCACAACCCATCTGCCTCTGCTATTATACCTTTCTAGCAGAATCCCAGTTGTGCAAAGTGACCATACTTTCCCCAAGCAGTCCTGGGGGTGGGAAGCCAGCCCAGAGGAAGATGAGTCCACCCCCACTCCACTTCACAGGTGGAACTCTGTAGAGCAAAGCCACACCCTTACCAGTGGCTGAGTCCCACTGGGCCTGGGACCCTAACCCAGCCACTGAGTGCATATTTGCTGGGGGTTTCTAAGACAGATCCTTCTTGCTCTTGGGAAAGCTCTTGGAGGCAACTCAACCTTCCTTCCTCTGAAAGTTGCCAGGGTCAGATGTGGGGCTCAGGACTATTGCAACTATCTAGTGCTCAATCAGCCTGAGGATAAAGGCAACAGAGAGAGGGAAAAAGAACCAAGATACCAGCAGGACAGAGTTTTCAGTTAAGCAAGATGGCCAGACACAAGAACATTCAAAAATCAATAGCTTTTCTCTATTGGCAAAAAAGAAAAGAAAATAGTATAGGCATAAGCTTAACAAGAACTATACAATACCACAAGAAGAAAACTATAAAGCTTCGCTTAAAGACATACATAAATAGAGGGAAACACCAAGTTCAATGGCATTAACAAGTATTTCAGGAGCACTTCCTTTGGGTCAAGCACTGGGCTAGAGGTAAGGGAATTCCAAACGTGAGCAACACTAAACACAACCCCTGTGCCTAGACAGCCCCACGTGCTGGACAGATCACCTGTGCTTAAAGAGACTCCATGTGCTGAACAGCTTGCCTATGCTTTAAGAGCCACCCCCCCCACCATGCACAGAAAGTCCCTCTGTGCTTAGAGTGCTCACCTGAGTTCAGACAGCTCACCTCCCATTCCAAGGACACAGCAAAGGTAAACTTACAACTAGACTGAGTGCTCAGGAGAAGAGTCCGACAGTGCTATGAAACTGGAAATGGGGAATTTTACCTACTTACAAAAGTCAAGGAGGTTTCCTTCAGAAAATGACAATTGAGATAAGACCTACAGATGAGGAGAAATTAACTGAGTGAAGAGGGGGGGCCACAATAACAGCAGTCTAAGCCCAGGGAACAACTTATGTAAAGACTGGACTAGTATAAAGAAGAGATTAGAGGGGCCACAAGTGGTCACAAGAGACCATTCAGTCGGCTACTTAAGAAGCCCAATGTAGAAGTGATGATGGCAGTGAAAGGATGCAATGACCAGAGATATTTAGGAGCAAAAAATAAGAAGACTCAAACAATAGACTGGATAGATAGATGGAGCTAAGACTCAAAATTATAATGCTGTCAATTGTCACTTTTAAAAATCTTTAAGTTCAATGCAAAAGTCAATCAAAATTCTAAAAGGATATGCTGTATGCCTTCTGAAATTTGGCACACTGACCCAAAGTTCACCTGGAAAAGCAACAGCATATAAACTGCCAATAAAATTCCCAAAAAGAATATGAAAAGACTCATTAAGAGACAAGATAATATATAATGGAGCTATAGGAAGTAAGACAATGAGGTTCTAAGAGACCGACTAAGACAAGGAAATCAATTAAATAGAATGAATGATTCAAAATCAAGTCCATGCATATACAAGCAATTCATTATCATGAAAACAGCATTTCAAATTGGGGACTAGTCAACCAGTGATGTCCACACAATATGGTATCTATTTTTAGAAAAGGAAATTCGGTCATATATCGTTCATACAAAAACTAATTTCCAGATGATTAGAGATCTAAATTGATGGGTAGGTAGGTGTGTTTTTGTATAAAAGAAAGATTAAAAACACTAGAAAAATACTAGGGACTCCAAAAGGGGAAAGAATGGGGACAAAGGTTGAAAACCTACATATCGGATACTATGTTCACTATTTGGGTAATAGAGTCATTAAAAGCCCAAACTCCATGCATACACAATAAACTCATGTAATAAACTTGCACATGTACACCCTGAATCTATAATAAAATAAACTTTTAAAACCCTAGAAGAAAACATAAAATATCTTGGTATTTTCAGTGGGGAAAAGAGCCTTTTTAAGTAAGACACAAATCTCAGAAACTATAAATCAAAATATAACAAATTCACATATAAAAGTTACTGGATGGTGAAAAATACTAATGTTCAAATGACAAATGGTAGGCTAAAAACTACATGTAACATATAAAAGTGTTAACATCACTAGTATATAAAGAACACATACAAAAGTAGGAAGATAATCTACAGAAAAATGGAAACTTTACAGAAGAGGAAATGGAAATGGCTTTAAAACATACATTTTTAAAAGACACATAACCGCCGGGCTCGGTGGCTCAGCCTGTAATCCCCTGCCTTTGGGAGGCTGAGGTGAGTGGATTGCCTAAGCCCGCGGGTTCGAGACCCGCCTGGGCAGCAAGACCTCATCTCTACAATAAATCAAAAACTCAGCCGGGCATGGTAGCGCATGCCTGTAATTCCAGCTACTTGGAAGGCTGAGGCGGAAGGATCGCCAGAGCCCCGCAGGCAAGGCTGCGGTGGCCAGGAGCGGCCACTGCACTCCAGTCTGAGCGACAGAGTGAGACTCCAACTCAAAATAAATAAATAAATAAAAGACACATAACCATAATTAGCTGGATATAATTTTAATTAAATGACAATACCCATATTGATACCACTCTCTTACAGTTTGGTAAACATGTATAGTTTGTTTGTTTGTTAGTTTCAGTTGGAGTCTCACTCTGTCACCCAGACTGGAGTACAGTGGCACACTCACAGCCACCCCAGCGTCAACCCGCTAGGCTCTGGCAATCCTTCCACCCCAGCCTTCCAAACAGCTGGAACTACAGGCATGCGCTACAACACCTGGCTAATTTTTTATTTATTGTAGAGACTCAAGCAATCCACTTGCCTCAGGCTCCCAAAGTGCTGGGAGTATTTTTTTGTTGGTCAAATTTCAAAAGTGCTTAACCTTTGAGC